GGCATTCCTCGCATGTTCTGAGGTCCTAGACGGCCGTGTGAACGTATTAGCGAGCTGAATGTACGAGAAGCTGTTGCGTGCGAATAGTGGTTGTGCGGCGCAATTGTCGATATGAGGGCTGATCGGTGTGCCGATGTGAATGCTGTGTCGAGGCAGCGAAGCGTTGCTGTCTGTCGTCAAAGCTAGAGGTAATGTATCGGGCGGGCAAGAGTCGTATCGCGAGGCGGCGGCGTGCAAGCGAGCCCCAGGCCCAGGTAGAAGTGCTCAGGTGTCGCTCAAATCCGGTCCGCACTGCAGCGAGCCGCGCAAGACTGCTCTCCGTGCCCTGGACCGTGTGCTGGATGGCGCGCAGCGAGAGTATCGTGAAGGTCGTCGAGGTTGGCCTCTTCAAAGGCAGTGGGGCACGCGAGGCCAGCGATGATGGCATGGGGGACTGGGGAGGGCTACCTGGTCGATTCATCGTGGTCTGGCTGGATTGAGCGCTTTGGAGGAGGCTCGATGGGGGCGCCTCTTCGCGGGGTGTGGTTGTGATGTTGTTCGGAGGCCAGTTGGAGGTGCGCGGGAACCGAGTTGTGTCAGGGAAGGGTGTCGTCTGTCGCTGGTGGTGGAATGGCGATCCTGCTGCCCACTCTAAATGGCAGTCGAATTGCAGATGGAGGTTCTGCAGCCTCGCGCCCTCAGGCCAGCACTCCAGGGCTTGGCTGGGACTCGAGCAGTTTGACTTGGGGTGGCCTGCCAGTCAGCCGCCTGGTCCGTGCACCATGCAAGGTACTGTTGGCCCGGCTTGTCTGCACCTTGAGGGCTTCCAGGTTCCAGCTTTGGTCGACAGCCTCGAGCGAGGCCTTAGGAGCCTCTCTTCCTCTGACCACACAACAACAAACAGCAACAACAACAATTTTCCTCAATTTCCCTAATCGAGTCCTAATCATCAGTATCGCGATCTTCAGTCTTCACATTTCCATCGGCTTAATTTGAGTTCTGCGTCTTAGGAGCTAGGCTACTTGCAGACCCGTTCGCAGACTGGCATCCCAGTCGACTGCCTTCACGCCTCTGCCAATTAGCACGACTTTGCCCGATAATGATCCGTCAGCACTGGCCTTTTGCCCGTCCACTATTTCGAATATCTCTCGCACGCCCTGTACCATCTTGACATCGCCATTGCTGAACACCAGCCTGGCCTTAAGGCGATGGATTTCTAAAAAATCGGTTCGACTCTCCTGCCCAGGTGCCTCACTCTCCCAGAGGATGGACCTCAGCCAAGCATCCACCATCTCTAGCTGTCCTGGCTGCAATATGGGTAGGTTTACTGTCACGGTGGCAATTGTCTACGCTGGACGTTAGCGGAGTTTCGGGCGTGCTCAGCAAGCTCTGGAGAATGACTTACGGGGTCGAGGTGGCTGTGGCCTTTGCTGGCATTGTCGAGATTTTCAATCTGGTCGTACGCATGGAGGTCCAGCAGAAAGCCTTCCAGCTGGGGCACAACACCCTGTTTTGTGACGTGGAGCTTGGCCAGTCCATTGATGGACTGTATCCTTTGTTTGACGGTTTCAAGCTCGGCCTCGGTCACGAGATCCGACTTGTTTATGACGACAACATCTGCGTGCGATATCTGCACGTGCGCAGTGGTCATCAGAGGACCATGGCCGTGGTCTTCGTGACCTTCTTCAATCTTGCCTGCCGGGTCTTCTAGACTGCGGATAATGTTCTTTGCGTCGACCAGCGTCACAATCCCGTCAAGGTATATCGTGCTCGCGAGACCGTCGTCAACCCAGAACAAGGGTGCTAGGTTGCCTGGATCGGCAAGACCAGTCGTCTCGAGGAGGATATAGTCGAACTTGCCCTTCTTCTCCATGAGTGACTCTATGGCGTTCACTCCGGTATCCCTGTCGACATGATTAGCATGCCATGACACCCTTTCACTGAAGGGAAATGACCGCAAACGTACTTGACGGAACAGCAAATGCAGCCATTGCCAACCTCTAGCCATTCCTCGACTTGCTCATCACCCTTGTTGACGGTAAGAGACTTTTCAATATCCAGAGCTGCGGCAATCCACATGATCAGCATACGTGGTTATATATGTGCGAGCTAGGCTGAGGCACTTACAGTCACCGAACTCATTCATGATCACAGCAATCTTCTTGCCATGCTGTGCCGTGAGGATGTAGTTGAGCAGAGTAGTTTTACCCGCTCCCAAGTAGCCTGGTACTGATATGTTAGCAAGAGAGGCTATTACAATTTGGACGACTGCTGTGACCTTACCGGTCACGATCGTGATAGGGACCTTGAAGGATGGTGCATCTCCAAGGCCTTGCTGGCTTGTCTCGGTGCTGACCAGCTCGGGGGGCGCATCATCGTCAAGGTCCATGGCGGGGCTGGTCGCGATCGTTCTGTGCAAGCTGCGGCGGGAAAGAGCTTCGAAGCTGGCAACGAGAGTATCGATCAAGCAATATACTTGTCGCTTGTCTATGATGGCCTCTATGAAGCAATAGCGGTAGCTTCCTGCAGATCCGCATATCATCGGGCCTTGCAAAGAAATGACATAACGGCGGGACCCCTCCAACGCTTGAGTGCCGGGAAGGTCCATACGGCGCTGTGATTGGCCAGGAAAGCGCTACTCGACCCAGACCCCAGACGATCACCTGGCAGCCTTAGCGCCTTCAAGGGGTCTGTGTTGTCTGTTGTCCAGCTTGCTCAGAGCCTGAGCAGCACTGCTGTTGACAGCCACACCTTTAACGTCAAGCTCCCTCACACTCTTTCGCGCCGCATCACCACATCGCGCCGACTCCAGCCCTCGCTCCTTTGTTCCGGCGGCCCGACTCCGGAGACCTAATCCCTGGTTCTCAGCCTCGACGGAAGCTTGAGAAGAGCTATAGCCTGAGCGCGAACTGCACATCCCACACGACCACAACACGGAAGAGCTCCTGCGCTCCTCATTGCGACAACCTCATCGCCATGTCCCAAGCTCAAAGCTCCCCGCGGCTTCCAAGCCCACCACCAGCCGCAGAAATCCAGCTCGGACCGCCGTCGCCTGGCCCCAACAGCTCCACTGGCGCCGAGTCTCGAGAGATACCTGAAGCCGTTGCTGCCGCCAATGCGAAGCGACGCATACACGTCGGCACCAAGGCCGAACATATGGCTGCGGGCCCTCCTTTAATACCCTTCAGCGAGGTTAGATACCCCGAACCCGCGCTCGTTTGAAGGACCACGCTGACCCTGTACGCGACGGCATAGCTCGAGTCGGCATTCTCGTCTCAGGAACACCTGGCCGCCTTACACTACTACCACACAGCCTCGAACACGGCTCCCATCAACCGACAGACAGCTCTAGCTCTCGCCACACCCCCGCCAGGCGTCGAGCGCACGCTTTGGCTGTATGAGCTATGCCGCTTCCTCATTGCGCAGTGCAACGGGCTTATCGTCGGTTTTCTCTTCGACACGCCGCCCTGCTCGTCCGCGACGTGCCCCGAAATGCGCGCCTCCGAGTGGCAGTTCCTCTGCGCCGTGCACGAGCAGCCCAAGAGCTGCTGCGCCATCGACTACTGCTGCCACACACTCGACTGGGCAGCCAACGTCGTCACGAACCCCAAGATCTTCCCGAGCCGTATCGTCCTGGGCGCTGACAGCTCGGAGCGCAGCTCAGTGCTCAAGAACCTCGTAAACGTCTTCCGGCGGCTTCATCGGATATTCGCGCACGCCTGGTTCCAGCACCGGGGGGTGTTCTGGTCCGTCGAGTCGCAGACGGGCCTGTATGTCTTCTTCAAGACCGTGTGCGATCTATTCGACCTTCTCCCTGCGGAGAACTACAAGCTCCCGCCTGAAGCTGAGGGACTCGAGCCAGCTGTTGTGGAGAAGGAGGAAAAGCGACCATCAGTGACGGTCATGTCGAAGCCGACAACGCAGCCAGGCGATTCTGGCGAGGAAGGCGGCGACGACAAGCACAGCTTCCACGCGCGGCGATCAAACACCGCAAGACACTCAAGCCGGCCATCCGTGGGCAGTATCGTGACCACGGTCATCGAAGAGCGAGAAGATGAGCAGGCGGACGTGACGTCCAAGTTTGAAAACTTGCAAATTTCCCGGCCTGAGATGGTCGACGAGGGCGAGGAGACAGAAGTCGAGGTTCCTGTCATTGTCGAGACGTCCGCGGACGACGAGGATCGGAACGAGCCAGTCGAAGCCGAAAGTGGCGACTCAAATTCACAAGACAAGGAGGAGACCGAGGACGATAACTTCCCTGCCGTCAAGATCGACGTGCAGGAAGATGTACCTGTCGAGCCGGACACGCCCACAGAGGAGGAGGACGCGGCATCGACTGCGCCGACGGTCATCGAATCGGAAGGCGCAAAGGCAGACGGAGAAGAAGAGGAAGAAGGAGAAGAAGGAGAAGAGGAGGATGAGGAAGAGGAGGACGAGGAGGAAGAGGACGAGCCCAAAGCCGACGCAGGCGCCTCCTCCTCCTCCGCCAAATCAGCAGAGGACAAGTTGGACAAGACGAAGCCCACGACAGCCGAGGAGAAGAAGGGAACGAAATAATGGGGTTCGGTATGGTCGCAACGATTCCCACCTTGACCCTCGAGACGAAATACAAATAAACACAGGCGAGACAAGACCGGTCTAGTCGTGCTAGCCACATGGGAATTTGCCGGCGGGATACCGAGCGTGTACGAGCGAGCGATCAAGTACGATAGACATCCGGTATAATGAATGACTGTGCGATGTGATAAGCTAGGGATCCGTGTATTGCTCCTTGCAGTTGGCTGGCTCTGTGTCCCAGGCGGCGAACTGATGGTTGGGTACCTTTTTCAACCTGCGGCTGTAAGTCTCCACCCGTCTAATAAAGAGTGTAAGAACACGCCTCTATAATAACATATCAGCTGCCTGCGGCATCACGGCGTGAGGCATTAGCGAGTTTGGAGAACAGGTAACTATTGATAAAAATCACTCGGGCCGTTGCAAATACCGCAACTTGGAAGCACGGCCTGCAAAAAGGAAGTCATCTCCCCCGGACAGGCTTGAACTGTCAACCTCCTGATGCCTTATTCCCGACAAGATCGGGAATTCTAACAGTCAGACGCGCTAGCCAATTGCGCCACGGAGGAAAAGAATCAGTAGTGTTAAAACGCCGAAGAACAGCGCCAGGCGAAGTCTCGAAACCGCACACGCTCCCCCGGACAGGCTTGAACTGTCAACCTCCTGATTGCGTTCCACCGAGAGTACCAGTAGTAACAGTCAGACGCGCTAGCCAATTGCGCCACGGAGGATAGGATGTGTGAATTATTGTCAACTCCCAGAATTTTCCTGGAATGTGCTAAGTTAGCCGCTTATTGAGAGCTACAACGACGTCCAGCTTTGACGGGCGATGGAATCAACTAATGCTTGGCGGGCATCCTGATGGCTCCCCAAGGGCCTAGCTGGGCTGCATTGAGTTTTGTCGAATCATCAGTTCGCATCAAAGACGAAAGCCTGCACCACGCTCGTGGCCCCGTTCACGTGGTAGGAACGACGTCATGCTGAATTGTTCCGCGAGCGACCCCGGGAGTTCTGAAGGTGGCACGAAATTGGAGTAGAACATGCACCGAGCACTGATCTCCAGAAAGGGATACTGCTTGCGACCTATCGGAGAAAGATGCGGAGGACATATTTGAGAGATTGCGACTACATGACGGTGCTGCTCGTCACCTTGGAAATGAAAGCTCCAAGTCTTCGAGACGTACCACCATGACGTGTGCCTGTTGTGTAGCAAGCAACGTCAGCTCGGAGGGCAGGATCGCAAGACGCAGCAGCTGGAGCCTAATCCTCTCGCTGTTTGAGGCTTCATCCAGAAATCAAAGATTCATTCTGCGGACTTCACATGTCAAAACGCTGCGCGGTTCGATTCTGCCGACATTGTTGGGCCGCTGCGGGACGAGAGGGCAGGTTGTTCGTGAGTGGAGCTGTCTGCTATCAAGCTTAATGCGATGTTGAAGCTCCTCCGTCATCCAACAATGCCCCGGAAGCACATGTCAAAAAGACAATTGGGCCTCCTGTAACTCTTGTAGGTCGCTGAAGATCTGGAGAGCCGAGATTTATGGGGTCGGTGCCTTGTTACAGGCAGAGACAGCTTCTGTAAAGCTCTGGTGTGGCACTCCATCGGACCATGACACGTGAGACCCGGTGCTCCAAGCTGTTTGTTGGGAGAAAGTGTGGAGAGGATGCTTGGCAGGGATCGGGAACAAGGCTGCATCATTGCGGGGTTTCGATATCCCTGTCTGTCTGGACTGCTGCAGGGTGCAACTGCAACTGCTCACGTCCCAAGAACGCTGGACTTGCTGATTGGAACCCTACAGGTGGGGAGAGGAACACTGCCCAAGTGCAAAGCATCTCATCATGTAATTAACAGTACCGATTGTAGGCACCTGCCGAGGTAATGCGAGACCTGAGTCGACTGTGTGACAGTCGCCTGCTTGTGTCATCTTGTCGGCCCAGGTAATAGGCGTAGGAGTCGAGACAGCCCGAGCCCGAACCTGGGGCAAGTCGCCGGAGCTTTCATCGAGACCCAGAATTTAGGTACGAATTGTGTACAGCAAAGCTGCCGAGGGCTGCCTCGAGCGCTCGGTGTCGTGGAAAGGCTCGCCCGTCGGATCGGCCTAGGCGATGCGCTAGTCGACAATGCAGGTCCCAGTGCCGTTGTCACTTGTGGCAATTGGCCTGGTCTGGAGCCACGGGGCAGACCGACAGTCTGAGGCGGCCTGTGACAGCCAGTCATATGGAGACTAAGGCAGTTTGATTCTCACCCGCGAACATGGCAGCGAGTCGAGCCATTCGCCCGGCCCAACAACATCGGTCGGGAGGCATGGCGGGATACTCACCTGGACGCGGTTCGTGGTGGTACTGCCATATTGAGCCTGTGCGCTCGTCCTATCTCGTGAGTCGATTGATGATCAGACCATGGCCAGACCAGAGTCTAGTGTCGAAGGGGCGAGTGGGAGGATTCGTGACGTGGATGGTTGATACTGGCCGTCGAGGTCCGCGCAGTCCGACGGGGAAGACCAGATGATCCATGGATGGCCCAGCCGAGTCGAACGCGTGGGAGCCTCGGGAGGTGTGTGAGCAGGGAGGACAGGGCGGGCAGGGTTGGGAGCGGCAGGGACGGCCGGGACAAGCTGCAGGCAGGGTGCGGCCCAAATGGGAAACCGCAGGACGAAACAGCCAGACGTCGTGAACATCCGTGTAAGTTCATTGGCCAGGTGCAGCCGCCACTCGCCCCACTCGCCCCAACAATTCAACAAAATTCCAGAAGCTGCAGTTGTCGATGCCGAACCCGAACAGACTTTTTTCCTTGCCTCCGCGCTGGCGGCATCAGGCAGGCATTGTTCGAAACACGTCCCGATGGCCGCATTGCGCAGGCCAACCACGGTGCTCGGTGTGGTGTGTCACAAGCCAGCCCAGTTGTGCTATGCAGCATCTCGGACCAACCACCGCGGCCGTGTAGCGACCTTGATACTGCTTCCAAATAACAGAGTACCCTGTCCAGACAGAGCATAGGTACCTCTACCAGCACATATGCGTACATGCCAGAGTCTTCCTGTCGCCGAGGCCGTGTGCCGTGGCGAGTGCCGGCTCAAAGGTCAAGGCAAGATCAGCAGCTCTAGATCTCGGTCGAGGCCGGCTGTGCCTGTTCGGCCTCCATGGGATGCGATCGAGACAGGCGAGAAGTCGGGCCCGCAACGCGCGCCCCGGACGACTCCTCTTTTTTCTGTTGCCTCCTGCCCGTGGGTGTCTTGCATTGTGGCCCCTGCCTTGCCCAGCAGGTACCTCGGTGCAGGTAGCTTGCATGTATCCGGTATCTGGCAAACCTGCTGGTTTGTGTGCTGTTGACAACTGAACGACGAGAGTGCTTGCCTGCATCCTGCAATAACTCTGAGAATGCCCGGTGCTGGTGTGGTGCCATGAGGGAGTTGGCCGTGTACGAACCCAGGGCACAAGTGACTTACACAGGCAACAGTTGAACGACCACCCCATGCTCGATATCAGAGCCTCGCACAAATGCCACACCTCCGAGCGGCACCATCCTCGTCCCGATACCAGGCCACTTTGCTCATCCCGCCCCCCCCCCCCTCCTCCACTCTTTTCCACCCCAGGGTTCTGTGTCTAGGATCCTGACCCGGCTTCCTCCTCGGCCCTCCACCCGCCACGCCACTTCCCAAACCACACTCACCGCATGCCCTGAATAAATACGTCCCCCGTCCCGGGGCCGCTTCCCATCCTCCTTCCTCACCTCCTCAACTCCAACCCCACTGCCGACTCCTCCCCTTGGCATCCTCTTCGACACATCCATCATGGCGGTGTCTGCGACCAAGCCTGAGGGCGCGCCTATCGACGATGGCACCAAGGACTACAAGCCTCTCCGCGGCTCCGCAATGGACCCCAAGAAGCCTCATATCACCGAGATGCCCATCACTGCCAGCAACTGGTACAAGCACGTCAACTGGCTCAACTGTGTCTTCATCCTCTTTGTGCCGCTGGCCGGTCTTATCACCGCGTACTGGACTCCCCTCCAGAAGAAGACCGCCATATTTACTGTCTGGTACTACGTTCAGACCGGTCTCGGAATCACAGCTGGTGAGTTGCTCCCCTGGACCACTCCCTTGCTACCATCAGGTCGGACTCGCTGACTGACTGACTACTTCAGGTTACCATCGCCTCTGGGCTCACACTTCGTACAAGGCCACCCTTCCTCTCAAGATCTGGCTCGCCGCCTGCGGCTCCGGCTCCGTCCAGGGCTCTATCCGCTGGTGGTCCCGCGGCCACCGTGCCCACCACCGTTACACCGATACCGAGAAGGATCCTTACTCCGTCCGCAAGGGACTTCTCTACTCTCACCTTGGCTGGATGGTCATGAAGCAGAACCCCAAGCGCATCGGCCGTACCGACATCAGCGACCTCAACGACGACCCCGTCGTCGTCTGGCAGCACGTCAACTTCCTCAAGTCTGTCATCGTCATGGCTCTCGTCGTCCCTACCCTCATCTGCGGTCTCGGCTGGGGTGACTACTGGGGTGGTTTCATCTACGGAGGCATCCTCCGCGTCTTCTTCGTCCAGCAGGCCACCTTCTGCGTCAACTCCCTTGCCCACTGGCTCGGTGACCAGCCCTTTGACGACCGCAACTCTCCGCGTGACCACCTTGTCACCGCCGTCGTCACCCTCGGCGAGGGCTACCACAACTTCCACCACGAGTTCCCCTCCGACTACCGCAACGCCATCGAGTGGTGGCAGTACGACCCCACCAAGTGGCACATTGCCGCGTGGAAGTTCTTCGGCCTTGCCTACGACCTCAAGGAATTCCGCTCCAACGAGATTGAGAAGGGTCGTGTCCAGCAGCTCCAGAAGAAGCTCGACCAGAAGCGTGCTACTCTCAACTGGGGTACACCCCTCGAGCAGCTGCCCGTCATGGAGTGGGATGACTTTGTCGCCGAGTCCAAGAACGGCCGCGGCCTCGTTGCTATTGCCGGTGTTGTCCACGACGTGACCGATTTCATCAAGGAGCACCCCGGTGGCAAGGCTCTCATCAACTCCGCCATCGGCAAGGACGCCACTGCCATCTTCAACGGTGGTGTCTACCTCCACTCCAACGCTGCCCACAACCTCCTCTCTACCATGCGTGTTGGTGTGCTCCGCGGCGGTTGTGAGGTCGAGATCTGGAAGCGCGCCCAGATGGAGAACAAGGACGCCACCTATGTCAACGACTCTGCTGGTCAGCGCATCTTCCGTGCTGGTGAGCAGATCACCAAGATCGTCCAGCCCGTGGCCAGCGCGAACGCCGCGTAAACGCCATGCCGAGCATCACGGCATCGACCCTCGGCATCCCTGTCTTTTGACGACAGACCAAGGTGTCAAGGAAGCAAATTAGATTGTGGGATTATCATCACGTAAAGGTGTCTGGCGTACCTGGGACTGACATGGGACACGGAGGAGACAAATCCGGTACCCGTTTTTCTGCTTTGTATTTAATCGCAAAGATTAATGACCACCACGAGAAAGCCTTTAGCGAGTAGTTTTTGACATTGAACAAAATACACTTTGAGTCTTCTCGAACGAACCACGCCCTCAAACTAATCTTGTCCCGTGTGCTCGTGACACTGGTCACGTTGATTGTACTCTTCTACCTCCAGATACGTGGTCTGTACCACGTACCCAGGATTTCCAAAACCTCAACCCCCTATATCGTAAATTGAGTCCTCGAAATACCATGGTCTCACCAGCGCTACTCTAGTATTTATTC